GCTTAGGAACTAGACTGTAAATTTTCCTAATCGTGTCTAAATGACAACATTGGTCGAGCCAGACTTTTATAGATAAGGCCATTTGGGGAAGCATGTTGTTACAGTGGTATTTTCGGCCCAAAAGGTTATCCTCTTTTACACGTTAACCTTACGTAACTCATATAGGTTTGTGTCACGATAGCCTCACGTATCCCACTTAATTAAAGACAAAAATATTGGGCAAAAATTTCGCCCGATTACCAAATCGATTGAGTTACCCTCTAGTCGTTCTAAGGTATGGCGTTAGTGACGGAGCCAGCACCTGGTGAGGTGGCACGGTCGCGTGCGCTAGCTCCACCAAAATTTACAGGTTCAGCGATGAGCGATTGCACAATTGATCTGATCGCTGGGTAGACGGATTGGTGAAGATGAAGGCAGGGTAGCTGGGCCCTTTTCTTTTTTTTAATGGGCCTTTTTCTTTTTTAAATTGTGGCCCAGTGAAGAAAAACAAAATGATAAATGATAATTGCCAAAAAAATTCACTAGAGTAATAGACGTCTGAAGTCTACCCAGACTCCAACTCGGCGATTCCAGATTCCCAGTTTTCTCCCACCCGTCGCCGCCAGTCAAGGACCACGCCGCTTCATTGCTGCCTCCTGCTTGTCGGTAATTTTATTGCATTATTCTTATTAATTCTTAAATGATAAAAAATTGAATCTTTTGCATTTTAGGGTTTGTGAATTGTGAAGAGATTAATTTTAGTTGTAATTTGATTTATTTAATTAAGAAAAATAGATTAATTGCAATTGGATCTTCGGTTTTACACGTGTGGACAGGGGGCTAGTTGCCCGTGGTTAGGTTTTTAGATTCATATTTGTGTATTTTGAATTTATCTGTTATTTGTTCTCTTTTTCTATGTTATTAACTTAGAGATATATTCTAAAATGCTAATCAAGTGTAAAAATTTGACAGAAGTGACAACTTTTACTTTATAGTTTATATGGTAGTGTTATTATCATTTAAATGTTAAATTAGGAATTTGTGAGATAAATAATAAATTGTTGCTGGAAATTGGAAATTTAAACTTGATGATAGTCGATAGTCAACGGTTGCCTTAGCTGACCTCTAATCCTGGATCCGCCACTTTATGGTGTTATTGGTTTTTTCTCATTCATTTTTCCCCTTCCGACGAATAACTCGTCTGATCTTACTTTAATTTTATTCGAGTTTATTTTCAAATCTATTTGTGGGATGAATTGCTTGAAATGTGAATCAGTATCTTTGTTTGTGGGTTTCTCTGTTTCTTTCTTACCCTTTTTGTTTTTTAAATTATGTGTGAAATTTTTCTGTATTTGAAAAAGCAATGGAAAAAGGGTTTAAATGGGGGAGACGAATGGTAGTTTTTATCATTCAATTGAATAGCTCAAAATTGATGTAATGTTTGTCACTAGTTAATTACTCCCGTTTGATCCAAATGATTTTCTTTGGAACTTCAATTTTCATGTATATGGTGATATTGTATTGTTTCTTAGTTGGCTACTAATTATAATTCTTCGGATCAATATGCTTGTCTTCTGGCTCTAGTGATAATGATGGTGGCTCTTAGAATAGGAGGTTGTGGGTTAGGATTCTGTGAAAATCTCAAAAATTGGTTTACTTAAACTCATTTTTGGCATTCAGTTATCATCTTACGCGCCCTATTTGTTTTGGTTCACTGCTACTCAATTGAACCAAGATTTATTATTTACCACTTCTACTGCTTCACTCAAGAAAATGAAACTAATACTGGAAGATCAATAAATAATTAATGAGCGAATGCAACCAACCAATTTTCCAGGAAATCTGAATAGCTTGATTACTAGAATTCATAGTTTTGTTGTATAGAACAAAATTTGTATAAATTTAGTACAGAAGGGTGAAATTGTAAAAGGGTCTCCATGGTCTTTCTTTAGGTTGATTGACTCTTTTTCCTCGGTATAATTGTCTCTGGGAATGAGTTCCCACTTTGCAGCAATGGTTTCCATTCTACTGAAAGAGAGCATATTGAACTATTTCAAAGGCAAACAAATAAGGATTGTTTAATTATGTAGGCTTTTCAATATAGGTCATGGTTTTCTTGACAGAATATGCGCTAAGAGTCAATGCTTTCATGCTCTTATTATCTTTTATTGTATGCTGGGACTGTTGTATCTACAACAAATATGTGAACAAGA